TCCCTTTAGAACAGGGCCGCACGGGAGCAGGGGCTCGGGTACGGCGACGGTCTTGGGCAGGCCGCAGGTTAAAAAAATTAGGAGCTCACGCCCTTGCTTTTTAAATTATTTGTCACAGAGTTCAATTTAAAAATCCACCGTCTTCCTGCCATACTCAAAGTATTATACTGTATTTTACTTTACCTTATTTTAGGGCTCAGCCAATAAAGAAAATCGTCGGCCTGACGTCATCTTGACATCATTTTATAGTCGTTCCTGATGACTGAAATAATGTCATCTGACGTCAATATGACATTTTCCTGTCCCTTTAGGCCACTCATCCAGTTTTTTTGTTAGTGCCCCCCCCCCCCCTCTCCGCATACATGGGGTCTTCCTTTACAGACGTTCCCGTCGGGGGAAGTACTCCCCATCAACTTCACGGTGCTCCAGCTCATCCAGGATATACCGGACAGGTGACTATACTTCTCGAGCTCGCGACTGCGCGGCCATAGCTATGAAGGTGGACCCTTCTCTCATGGCCTCTTTGTGACCCTTCAGGCCCAACATGAATACCCTGGGGTGGTGCCCGGGGTGCGGCGCCGTCGCCACGCGGCACTGCTGGGTCCGGCACAATGTCCTGACCGTCAACGCTGCTCTGGAGCAGCTCCTGCAGGGCGACGCCGCGCCTAGTGGCCCTCCACTGCACACAGGAGGACCACTAGCCGCGCCTCCGCCGCTGGTGGCACGCCATCTGGAGCGCCTGAAGGACGGGGACCATGAAGGGGAGGCCCTGCAAGCGCTCACCTTGCTGTCTGGAAAGACCTGGGATGTGATCCTGCGGGGCGGGGGCCACGTGCTCTCAGGCACGCTGCGGGACATCAAGGACCCTGAGACCAAGGCCCTGTTGCTCCTCATGGCGGCGAAAGGAGAACTGGTATTGTAACAATAAACTGTAGCCCGAGAGAGGGTTGTTGGGTTCAGTCAGTTGTTTGTTTGCAATACCGTATCTGTATTTTCCTTCCAGACAAGCCGCGCAGTCGATTGTGCCAAGGACCTCGGCCACAAAGATCAAGCTCTCAATCTAAAGATGATTCTTGGGGTAAGTCGTGACTAGACTACTAGGTGCAGGTTAGAGACCCTCGAGTTCAGCATCAATCTTCCTCTCACTCCATTCTGGATCGGAACACTGAAAGCGGGAAGATCTCTACCCACTCGGATCACGCGCGTGCGTTACAATAACTCTTTCATTTTGCAGGTGCGACGGCTGCTCAATGTGCCCATGAATGACCTGTACCAGGAGGTACTGGAGGTCGCTGCGCCTACCGTTGAGCAGCTGAGTTTGCTCCAGCCTACGGATAGGGCGCTGTGCGCGGCGTTCGTCATGCCTCGACTGAGGAGACTGCGCGTCGATGGTTTTGTGGACGAATCTCTCCGAGAATCTCTCCACACGATCGAATCTAACCTAGAACTCAATCTCAAGCAAGGGCACGTGCAGTGGCTCGAGTTGGTGGCTTTCCCTCCCACCCTGCTAAAGGTTGTGCTGAAGGCCCAGCGGCTGTCGCTGGAGGTGCTGCAGCTAACCGCCCCCGATTACTACTCGCGTTTGGATTGCGACGAGCTGTTGTCTGTGCTGGAGGACTGCGAGCTGCGCTCGCTCAGGAGGCTCGTCCTGGTGAAGATGCTGGACGATGTGTCGCCCTTCTACGACAACCACGTGAAGTTTGACAGAGAGGGCTGCGTGAGCAAGCGCGAGGCGCTGCTGGAAGCGCTGCCCGAGGAGGCCGAGGTGGTCTGCGCGCTGTGCGACGGTGAGTCTGTGTTGAAGCCGATGATGGAACAGCTGTAGGCGACTGTAGGCGCGGTTCAACCGATTTCAATCGTTTAAAAGGCATTTCAAGTATAGAAAATTAGCAAGTGCATGTGTATTTGGGCAGAAGGTTAATGAGAGATGTAAACACTGAATGTTAAACCTCATAGAGTCTCCCTTTCCGATTTAATGCGCCAAAAGGGTGAATTAAAAATCTCGCTGTCAAATACTTTTGTTTACTCGAAACACTCCCAGTCCAGTCCACCGTGCGCCTGACGGACGTGAGCGCCTCGGGGACTTCCCTGCCGCTCCTCCCTCGCGGCTGCCGCGAGACCCAGTTCCGCGGCCCGGGCTGGGAGGGGCGCGCGGGGGAGTGCACCGCGACCGCGCGGGGTGCCAGCAGGCTCCATCTCTTATTTGATTTATAGCATCGGATTATACACTTCTTTCCCATATAACTTTATATTCTTGCGCGCGCAGCGCAGCGCGAGCCCACCCCGCCCCGCCACGCCCCCACCCGACCACCGCCAGAGCCACCCCCTCTCCCCGCCCCTCCCGCCGCTCCTCAGGCGCGGCGCGGCGTCGCCCGCCAACGCGGATATCTTAATAAGATTCATGAAAGGGACGTAATATATTATCCTTGTGGCTGCTGCAGCGCGCGCGGCGTGGCGGGGCGTGGCGGGGCCGGGCCGGTAAACCACATCTACACACACATTTCGCAGATAAGCCCTTCACACTCCGCGCGCTTCCTCGCCGCGCGCCTTCAAAGAAGAAGAAGAGGAGCGCGCTCGCCCGCCGCGCTGCCCTCCGCGATTCCGTCTTAAGATATATCATAATAATTCTGCGGAAAACCTTTAACTACCTGCGGAGCTGAGATAGAGCCGCCCCCGGGTTCTTCATCTTCTTCTCCTTGATTCTCCTCCTGATTTA